CTTATGGGAATATTCACTGCTTTGTAGCTTGCTGGTAGCACTTTGCCACTGATTCTCACTCCTCCTTGTTTGTCACTCACCTTTGCAAACATATGCAGTATCTTCCTCCCTCTGACCCTTGCCCAAACTTTTTTATTTGAATGTTAGACTATGTCAAAGTAATATGCAATAGCAGCTTTGCTGTTAGTAGTGTGAAGGAAGGGAGTAAAAAGGTGGCATATTATAGTTGGTGAGTCAGCATCTGTCAGATAGTGTGTGGTGGCTTAAGATTAAGTATACAAATTTCTAGAAAAACAAACATACTGGATTTGATACCAGGAGCCTTAGAGCCTGATTTCCACCTGAACTAAATGGGTTTTTTTGTAGCTTGAAATCTTCAGTGATATACAGCAGTCATGTATAAAACCATTCAACAAGAACATATTGTTGGCTGAAGGGAGGAAGATGTGCACCAAGGAGAAGAAATAACACAAAGGGGAGGTAGAGGCAAGTCAGCTGTTTCCTGAGTCCTGAGAAAGGAGGAACATAGCCACAAGAATTGGAGCCACAAGAATTTGAGCCTTTTTCCTCACTCATGTAGATAGTGGGATTTCCCACTTATCTTTAGGAGAAGAATTAAGTTATTCAATGCCCATCTCTTTCAGGTCTCAGCATCACTCATGAAAGTCAGGACAGGAGCTGTTTCTTCAGCCAACCAATCAACTTTATGCAGATTGACTGAGAAAGGAGTTTGGTCCTAGAACTGATATTTCAGTTCTTAGTTATAGATCTAAATTCTCCCCTGAAAGTAAGATGCATGCTTGGAGGCTTATTCCCTCTTTACACCTGTTTAACCTCTTGACATTTATCAGTCACTACCTTTTATTAATTGTGCGCATTATCATATTTAGATGGTGGGGAGGTTAATTTTTTTAAAACAAATTAATACTGTAAACGTATGAAAGACTTTTTCCATTTAAATAATCTCCTTTCCTTAAAAAAATCAAATGCAATAAAAAACCTGCAAGCTCAATCAATACAGCATTACTTAAAACATCTTTGAAAATTCTTTAGCACTTTTCACTGTATTTGTATGACTGTTCAAGCTATCTGCTTCAGATTTTAAGTAATAATTTCAAAAGCATTGAACCTTTTAATTTTTGGGGGGCATTAAGATTACTTTTTGACAACTACAGTCTAAATATTTTGGGATTTCTTAAAAGAGTTTATGTTTTGGTTGGGCAGTAAATGTACTTCGTTTTCATGGTGTGACAGATTCAGGATATTTATTTATTTGTTTGCTTTTTGTTTGATGTTAGGAATTGCTAAAACATATGTTAGAAAACTGCATTGTCTGATAAATTTTTTTATTGATAGAGGTGAATGGATCATATTCCAGTATTTGTTTTGGCAAAGAGTGGCTTCATATTTTAATGACAAGAAGTTAGGAAGAATATTACAAGAGGATGCTTACTGAAGATGTAAACCCAAATGATAATTTTTTGTGTGTGTTTGATTAATTTTCATGTTGAGTGACACTGCACTAGGGTCTTTGTACTTTCTCCATGACAAAAAAAAATAAATGAAGGCAGCATTACAGTGAAGGAGAAAGGAAGAGTTGTAGAAGAGCACTCTTGAATCTTAAATTGTTAAGATTTTCATGCTATCTTTTGTGCTTACACACATTGTAGGGTTATAGCTGAAAGAAAGGTGGCTAATGTGTATCTTCATGCTCCAGCATGCTCCAGTTGATGGAACAGCTTTTGTAGGTGATAGACTTGCAAGTTTATGATGGGAAGCAGCCTTGCAGCCAGATGGTTTTGGGCATATGTGTTTATAAATAAGTAGCTTTAAGTCACTTTGCCTCCTTTGGAGCTGTGCTGAACGCAGCTTACATTCAGACAGCTGTTTTTTCAGTGTCATTCTCCTTTCCTGTTCTCTGGCTTGCATTTCTCTTCTGTTTGTTTTGTTTTTTTCTACTGAATGTACGGGCAAAGGGGTGGTTAATACTCCTGCCCTGGAGAATTACTGTGAATGAGAGCATATATTCTACCTCTTTGCAAGCTACTTAAGACTTAGATATGGGTCTCCAGGAGGAAAAAGGAATTATATTCCTGCTTGTTCCATCCTCAGAACAGACAAGCAGGGTGTGTGTACATCTTTGGCTCCTGTTTTACTACTTCCTGATATGTATTGGATGCTGATATATGTAAGCCTTTTATCTTCTTTTTTAAGTTGAGTCCTGTCCATGGGAGATACTTCAAGAAGGTTAATAATCTGGTAATGAAAGTTCAGGCTGATCATAGAAACCCGAGCTATCTTTGGAGTCAGCAGCTGGGGAGGTGGTAACAAAGTGGAACTTTGCAGCAGAGCTGGGGGTGGTTGGGTCTGGCAGTGTTCAGTATAAAACCAAGCTCTTGGAGGGAGCCACATTCAATGCAGATCTGTAAAAGCATGTATGGCTAGGGGAGAGTGAAGTAGGGAACAGTAATGCACGATGTCTTTTAGTGCCAGAACTAGGAAGCAGCAGACAGACAGGTGTTTGAAACAGGAACCTTGACACAACAGATCACCAAAAGCAAAAATGCTTTTTCATAAGATGTCACAAATGCTAAACATTTATATAGGTTCAGAACCAGTCAAATTCACGGAAGATAACAATTAAATACAAGGATACTAGTCTGATCAGGACTTCTTGTGCCATGAAGTGCTGGATGATGGAAGAGCATTCTAGAGGGGTACCGCTGTATGAATTGCCAGCATATAAAGGGTATAAATACCCTTTCTGGGTGCCTGCTTCTGGTTATTGTTGAAAACAGGATATATAAGGATGTTTGATGGGACCTGCTTCAGAAGCCTTTTGCTCTTCTGCCTGTAGAAAGTGCACTAAGATTTGGGATTGCATTGTAGATTTACTATTGAAAGCCTATTTTGATGCATTGTGTCACTTAGGACCGCTTTTTGTGTAGTATGCTTTTGATAACACTCCTAGTTTGATGCTATATTTAAGGTCTTGATGCAATTTTCATAAAATAATGAAAAAATTGATGAGTACCAGTATGGTGCCAGGACTGTACTTGGATCATGTGTTTCTCATTGTCTTTTCTTATTTCATTGTAAAGGTTAGGATTCCTTTTGTTTTCCTTTGTGAGATAAACAGGTTAGATTGGAGTATAATAATTTTTTAACTGACTGACAAGCCACATATAAACCTATCAATCTGTGCATTGGGAGGAAAAAAACCAAATGAAACAAAACCCAAAAGAAAAGGGTGAAAGTATTTAATCTCTTTGCAGTCTTCCTGAAAGCAAAACATAAAAATCAAATAAAATGTTCAATGGTAGATTGGTAAGCATGGAGTCCTCAAGTATTCCACCCATTTTATTTTGCTCTGTAATGATTCTGAAAGTATCTCTCAGAAGAAACAATATATGCAGCATTTTCTTGTACTGCTTAGAATGCGGATTGTATATTTGTTGTTATTTATTTACCTTGTCCCACTTTTGTTTATTCCTATTTTAGCTTTCTAATTTGCAGTTCAACTTCTTTAGCTTTGGAAGTTATTAAATATTGCACTGTGCCTTAAATGATTCTGTATTTTTAGACAAAATGGAAGCACCTAGTGCTATAGATGCAGACTGTATAATATTGTCTTTTTTCTGAGTTAGGCTCATGACATTAAGACTTGGCACTGCATTTACAGAGTCAGTGTTCTCATTTAGCCTTCCTAGTCTGCGATTAAATGGGAGTTGCTGCTTGTCTTACTATGAGTTGGCTGACAAAAGCTAAATCTGTCACAGGTGCTGCAATTTGTGTATAAGAAAATTTGTTTTCCAAACACTAATTATTCCCAAAGTATCTTACTTCACACAAAGCATAGATAACACAGTCAGCAAATTTGTCCCAGTTTTATCATTGTGCTGTAAATTAGGATTTGTCTTCTAGGGTTTGTAAAGTGAAGATGGTAGAAATTCAAATGCAGGAGAACCAATTGATTTACAACATCTGATGTGTTTTTGCACTTAATTCTTCCAATCAAAATGCTTGAAATGCATGTTGTTCAAATAATCACTGCTGAATTTCACTTCTGTAACTAAATGAGCTGTTGTCTAGGGACATAGAATAGTGGGAAACAACAGTGTTGTCTCTTGAGAAGTCATTTAAAATAAGAAGTATTTTATACCTGACAGACCTAGACCTAAGCTGGTCATAGGCTTAAACTATTAATTTGGGAAATTACTTTAATATGATGGAAGCTTATCATGAATTATCTTTCTGGTTGTTATGGGAGAAGAATGGACCCTCAGTTATTGAAACTGTGGTGGAATAACAGAAAGCATTCAGTTTATACTCTCCTCATACAGACTCTGAGTCATGTATGGAGTGAAAACATACATGTAGGTGCCTGTGCACAAGCACTGAGTTGGTTTTCTGTCACCTGTCCTCCACTGCTCCATGTCGTGGTGAGTCTTTGTGATAGCCCGTTACAGCCCCAGTTGCCCGTATGGTGTATTTTGACACTGAAGGGCCAGGATCTCCCTAGATAGGAGTTTGTAGTTCAGATAGATAGGCTATTCAGTTAAATCTTTTGTAATGAATCCAACTGTCATCTGAGTGAGGAAATTTTTGACACTAAATGCATAATGACCTTCTAAAATAGCAATCAGAACTGAGTTTCAGCAGCTTCTCCTTTGATTGCTGAGAATTACCTAGGAATCGCTTCTAAGGTTAGACATCTGTCTTAAATATATATTCAAAATATTTAGTTTATAGATTGACCTACACAGAAAAGGAAGAGCATTGAATATTGTAAATGAAATTTTTAGCAAAAATTTTTGCATTGCAAACTAGCTTAAGAAACTGTTTATTTATTCCCTTAGGATGAACATATTGTATATTTCTAGATTTCTAACAAATGCAAACATTGATGTGATTTAACTTCTAATAGCAGTGATTCACAGCTCTAGTTGTTTGACTTGTGTATAATAATACTGATTTGTGTTTTTATTTTATTTCTATAGGACTATTTAACCATTCACAAGTATGGCAATGCAGCCAGAAATGATCTCTGGAATACATTGTCAAAGGTAAAATGCTTTAATCTATTGCACTAAGGGATAAGCAGGAATTTACTGTGCTATTTTTCTTGTTGAGGTTAGGAGCGAATAATGCATATTGAGATCTTCACACCCCAGAACAAATACTAAAATGGATGCCAAGAAATTCCATTTGAGTTAACCTAGTAGCAGCATTAAAATATGTTTTTGGCAGCATTTCTGTTCTTTGTTACGTTAAAATATATTTTTTTGCAAGTGCTATGTCACTGATGTGTAGCGAAAGATACTTCATGGAATCTGCTGTCGTTGACTTCAGTGGCAGCACGCTAAAGCCCATAAGCTGCAAAAGGCTTGTCTTGTGTTTCTAGAGCCTGGTCTGGGGATTTATAAGGAAAGAGTATAAGTTTCATAAAGTGAGCCAAGCATGTCTGAATTTCTTCCCTATCGGGCTAGTCTGAGCTGGTCTGGGTCTTCTCCAGGAATAAAGACAGAGTACAAGGCAATGTGGAGTACAATCTGGGAGTTTTGGTGCAAGTACCAACCCAAGCCATACAGAACATGGAAATCTAGTTGTAACTATAGACACCAAAGCTAGATTTCAGCTGGAGGTCAAGACATCTGCATTTATCTAGACAAGCGGGTATATACATTTAAACTAGGTGTCCAATCTCCAGTGTTCTCAGTGAGTCTTCAGTTGCCCATTTATAGACTTCTAGCGGTGTTTCCCTTAGTTTATCCTGCCTGACTTCCAGCTGCCACACGATATAAGCACGTCGATTGTAGGTACATCAGTTTTGAAAGAGTGTGTTGAGTATTTTAGGACATTTCATTTGACACTTGGTGAATAGGAAAAACTGGAGTCCCAGAAATCCAGTCAATACAGTCAGCTCAGCATAGAGAGCCATTCAGTTGACTGGCCATTACACGACTATTTTATGAAGAGCCTGAACCTCTGACTGTTGACTAGGGCCTTGAGATAGTTGCTCAAGTAAATGCAACTATGGCCAGATAAGATGCTGTAGGATGTTTAAGACATTCAGGTGTGTTTAAACAATTTAAAAGAAGATATATGGACAAATCTGTGCTCTTCTGAAGTGGCAGGAAAAGGTCAAATGACATTAGCCACCTACATGTGGGCAACTGAACCAAGTCCTATGTCTGTACTGACTGCTAATGAGTTAAGACATGTAATATATAGTCAGGCTTTTAAATCTACGTCTTAATCTAAAGCTGAATAACACTGCAAAAGTCTTTCTTGTTTCTCACCTGGTGCTTTTCTCTGTTAAAGCCTTTGGGACAGTTCTGGGTGATGGAAGGTCAGAGGGATGTATGTAGTCTTAAAAGAGCAGTGGAACACACAGCTAATAAAGTAGAACAAAAATGAAACTGTATTTTGGTCCATAACCACTATGGCTATACTGTATGCTCACGTCTGTTGTTACAGCTGATTCCGTTTGCCTCAGCTGTAAATGCATTTGTTGCCAGCCACTTTGTTCCTAATGCATTACAATTGTAACTTCAGTTCTGAAGACATCTTCTGCTTGTATTCATCAGAGGTTGCTCAGTCTGTGATCTTGGACTGTGTTTGACAGCTAGGAACATTTCCGCCACTGAAGAACAAATGATGCCTGTCATTCTCCTCATGCCAAGTCTCATCTCCCATGAGACTTGGTAGTATCTTTTTGTGTTTCAGATGAAAATGCACTTGTAAAACAGCATTTTTATTGACATATGGAATCAAATATGAACGCATTAATTCTCCATGTGTTATGACAGGTGCAGTTTATGAAGCAGCAGGGAATACATAGCTTCACTGTGGACATAAGGGACAATATTTTCAAATAACTACTCATTTAATTTTCAAAACAGAGGAGCTCTGTTAATTTAGAGCCCTTCAAATGTGCCTTATTGGAGGTGCCCTAGATCAACTAACACTTTTTTAACCTTAGCTGGTCAAGAATATATTTTGGAGACAGCCACCCAGTATTTCTGTGGCTGTTTTTAAAATCCTGTAAAGAAGGTTATTTCTTCTGTTAGAGCAAAAGTGCCTGAGTGATGTGGGAAACATGATTTTCTGACTGTCACTCTCCTCTCTGTTAAGCTTACTCAACATTTGTTTTTAAGAAATACAGAGGCTTTTGGTTATGTAGTGTATGTATTGGGTGTACACGTGTGTGTGTATCTGCACACACATATGATCGTTATTTCAACCTCCAAAACTAGTTATGATCTCAGGGACAGAAAAAAAAAAAACCCACACCAAAAAACCCCCAGTTTTTTGTGTTGGATGATGATACTACTTCAATGTACTGAAATTCAGTATACTGAAACTTTTCTTTTTCCTTCAAGGCTTTAAAAAGGGTTGGAAAATCGGTAAATATCCAAGAAGTAATGGATCAATGGACACTACAGATGGGTTATCCTGTTATCACTATCTTGGGAAATGAAACTACAGACAACATCATAGTCATCTCCCAAGAGCGTTTTGTTTATGACAGTGATGCTAAACCCAAGGATCCTTCCCGTGGAGACAACAGGTACTTATACTTCTCAATATCTTTCAAGAAGCTGTAATAGTTTAACTAAGTGCTGTATGTGAAGATGGCTCTTTAGAAATCTGAGCTTTTCTTGGTATCAATAGCATGTGGTGACTCTTCTGTTTGAACTGTAAAGTTGAGGCTACTTAAAGATGAGGCTAGTTAAAAGAATTGAAAAAAAATTCCCGTTTGCATCCTGACAGTTCTCTGTGACAGTGTCTTACATCACACATCTGTTTCCTCTCCTTTTCTTTTGATTTTGTCACACTCCATGAAGGTAATTTGGAATGTGGCTGTAAGGTCTGATACTTCTTTTTAACAAATTTTTTGGAGTGAACCTCTCCATGCTAATACATTGAGTAGACAGATGTAAGTGTGTGTCAAATACGTACTTTGCTTGACTTGGGAAGCAGTCAGGAGCTAAACTGGACCTCTCTACAAGGCAGGGGTTTCCAACTGTTTCATTTTTGAAGCCAGCTGAACTGGTCCTATGGGAACTGTAACACTGGCTGAAATCTGCATCTTTGCCTCTACCCTTTTTCCACTTGTATTGTTTTGTTCCTGCTCCCAGCTGACTCCACAAACTTCCTTCATTCCAGAGACAAGTTGACATTCCTGGCTGATCCCGGAGAATCCTCATTATTTAAAGCAGTTTTGGCATTGTATTTTAAGGCCGGAATATAGAGCTGATGCTAGAGAATTACAAGATAGCCTTTGAAGTTTCTGTGTTGACCTATTTCATTGGCGGGAAAGAGGGCACACTGTCAAGCTGAAATACTCCAGTGTTTGCCCAGTAGATTTAAATTATTAAAATTTAATATGAAATTTTGGTTGACATGTCTGGAGCTTGTAGAGTATTCCTGTTGAGGAAGGCCTAAAATTATAGTTACGTTTATTGGAAAGTGTTAAGAAGTTCATTATCCTTTCTTAGAACATGAATATTATGGAACTCAAAAATTATGTAAATAGTTGTTTTTCTGGCTGTATTGGAGCAACCTAAGAGGATATTAAACATCTGTTTGAGTTCTGGGCTGAAATTATTTCCTTTGTGAAAAAGAGATAAAACAACTGAAGGTGGAGCGTTGGAAGTGTTCATGACTCACTGTTCAGTGCAGCAGGAGAGAGATTCTCCCTTATTCACTTGAAACTTTCTTTTGTGCAAGTGTATATACAAGTAATGTAATGTGAGTGGATTTTACTACTTAGAAGAACAGAGATTATTAGTTCTTTAATTGACTAAAACCGATATGTTAAGCCTTTTAAGTATTATAGAGACTTTCTTGAATAAATTTTCTAGATATTCAGTATTGATGCTGTATTTCATGTGTAAAGACTACTGGGTGTGTAAATGATATCAGGAGTGATGTGGTGGGTTGACCTGGCTGAATACCAAGTGCCCACCAAAGCTGCTCTATCACTCCCCTTCTCAGCTGAGCTGAGAAAGACTCATGGATCAAGATAAGCAGAGGGAGAGATCACTCACCAGTTACTGTCACAGGCAAAACAGACTTGACTTGGGGGGAAAAAAAATTATTGCCAATCAAATCAGAGAAGGGTACTTTATAAATAAAATGAAGTATTAAAATGCATTCCCCCCAGCCCTTCCTCTTTCCAGGCTTAACTTCACTCCTGATTTTCTCTACCTCCTTACCCCCAGCAGTGCAGGGGAATGGGAATGGGACCTGCAGTCAGTTCATCACTCATTGTCTCTGCTGCTCCTTCCTCCTCAAGTGAAGGGCTTGTGACACTCTTCCCCTGCTTCAGCATGTGATCCCTCCCATGGGAGACAGTCCTCCATGAACTTCTCCAACATGAGGCTTTCCCATGACCTGCAGTACTTCACAAACTGCTCCAGCATGGATCCCTCTCAGAGGATACAGTCCTTCAGGATCACACTACTCCAGCATGGATTCCTTGTGGAGTCACAAGTCCTATCAGCAAACCTAGTCCCGTGTGGGGTCTTTCTCCAGGGGGGTCACAGGTCCTACCAGGAGCCTACTCTAGCTTGAGCTTCCCATGAGGCACAATCTCCTTTGGGCACCCACCTGCTCCAGCGCAGGGTCCCCTACAGGCTGCAAGTGGATCTCTGCTCCACTGTGGACCTCTGTGGACTGTGGGGGCACAGCTGTCTCACCATGGCCCACACCATGAGCTGCAGGGGAACCTCTGCTCTGGCACCTGAAGCACTTCCTCCCACTCCTTCACCATTGACCTTGGTGTCTGCAGGGCTGTTCCTCTCACATATTCTCCTTTCTCTAACTACTCTTTCCCATGTTATCCCAGAAGCACTACCACTGACACTTATGTGCTTGACTTTGGCCAACACTGGGTTGATCTCGGAGCTGGCTGGCACTGGCTCTGTTGGACATGGGGCAAGCTTCTGGCAGCTTCTCACAGAAGCCACTCCTGTAACACTCCTGCTACCAAAACCTTGCCATGCTAATCCAGTACGGGTGAGAATTAGACATAGTTTTATTTTCATACGTCATTATTCATCATATGACATTTATAATGTCATATTTTTATACGACATTAGCTCATAATTTAAACTGTATCTTGTGATATGTGGAACAGCAGTATTCTACACCAGCAGGGCAAGTTCTGCTGGATTTCTTAGGAGATTTTGTCGACAGATTTTATCACAACTTTTATTTCTAAATATTGGAAATAAGATTTAGTGCTGCAGAAAACACAAAGAAAGATATCAGCATGAGCCCTGCCAAGAATTTAGTGTCCTAACAGGCAGTCCAGTACATATGTGTATCTTCTTTGGCAAGTCTCTTTGCCCTTCTTTTCCCTCTTTGGATTTGTTTTTCTCTATGCTTCCATGTCATTTTAACCACAAATGGGAAGGCCCTTGCCCAAGGAAAGCTTTGTAGATGGATTGTTTACTCCAGCCAATTAGAAGACAAAGTTAATTTGAAAGTCATGTTATGTAAGTATAAATACAAAAGAACAGGAGCCATATACATTTAGCAAAAGGTGAAACTTACCTATGCCATGCACCTTTCAAAAAACATCTATCAACTTACAATAAAGTCTTATGGCTTAGTTATAAATTGGTGCCTGGAGTGTTATAACACTGACCATGCAATTTGTTCGTGCACTGCCCACAGGAACATGTGGCTAGATATGCTCAATGGCTCTGTGCCATTAATGTCCTGTCATATTGACATATTAATAAAAAGCAAGACCGACATACTGAATATAAACCTAATCTTTTATCCAGCAATGACCTAGGTATTTTTCAGGGTTTTTTTTGGTGATATCTTTTTTTTTTTCCCCCCACTGGAGAAGTCACTGTTCCTTCAGTTACTGTGAAAGCAGTAGACGGGGAAAATCACATTACTGTGTGACCATCTGATAATTCATGATGCATTACTTTACCTTAGTTTTTAATATTGAAAGAGCTGAACTTTGTATGACATGATACAGCTTTTCTACAGGTACACCAAGAGGGGTGATAACTGAAATGGAAAGAGCACATTGAGGGACATTAAGCACTATTAGGTTTGCTGATGTCTGATGATGAGATATATATATCTATCTATATATCTATATATATCTCATCAGCATGCAGTCTTTGGAGGTGTTACATATCAGTGGCCTAATTCACAATCCAATAAAGCTGGTACTTATCTCCCGTGAATGACCCATGAATTTAGGCGTTATACGCATGGCTTCCTGGGGAGCCATAGTAGGCACTATAAATAGTGGGGAGCAAATGTTGTTTATGCCACATTTGAGGTCATGGTGCTGCAGGGCAGGCAACATTGGCTTCCTTAGGGAAGTTTATCTATGGAATAATTTTGATGATCATTTTAAACACCATAAAGAGTAGAACTGCAGAAAACACAGAAAAATGTACAGGTCCAGGCCTTTCCAGGAGTTTATCATCTAAACAGACAATACAGTATGCACTGGAAGGCTCCAGGGAAGGCTCTTAAAGCATCCATCTGCCATATAGTCTTTAGTTATCCAGAGGTGGGGCTGTAGTTTGATATGGCACAGCAATAAATGTCAATTCTATTGCCTTCAAAATGATGAGGAGTTTAAATTTCTGGTTCAGATGCTCTCTAGGCAAATTTAACTTTGCCTTACTGTAGAAAGAGTCACTTTAGAGTAGATCTTTCAGATGTATCTTCTGCATAAGAAATGTAAATAAAGAGTCAACCATTCAGAACCATTCCAGTTTTATAAAATGTCTGTACTTTTCTTTATGCTGTGTATTTATGCAGCAATTAACTGTTAAAAATGAAAGTGAAGCTGCATATTTAATTTTTCTCTCTGAAACTGTATAGAGGAATACAGAAGCAGCAAGCAGATTTTTCTAACTGATAAATGGTAAAAGTTGTTTATACCTTCTGCAGTGGTTGATGCCTAGTCTATTGTTGTAAGTATCTTTAATTCTTCTACAGAAGAGAATGATTACATATAGTTGATTTTCCAGTCTCAGGTATATTTGGGCTCCATGTCTTTATACCTGCAAAAAACTGTGTTTCAAGAGCCATACGTATATAAACTGTGATTTAATTCTGTGCATAGAATCGACTGTAGGGCATGCTAAGCTCTATTATTTGGCCTGAAATTATAGAAGGTATACAATTTCACTTCTTTGTAAACTGTAGACAGATTTTGCTTGACACACATTCACATGATCCATAGTTGTTTTTTTATGAGAAAATAAAACTAACAGTGATGACACTGTTTTTAGAAACGTCATTCCTTAGAATGGCCAAAATCACCAGCTTTGATTTGAATGTCAAAGTGTATGGTTGGTACAATGCTTCGGTAGAAATTTCAACTTATACTAGCAAAACTTTAAAACTCCTGTAATAACTGTGTAATTCATATTCTGCTCCCATATAACAATCCCTTATTTAAGCATAGGTTTGGTCCTGGACTTCTGTATACCCCTGTGAGAATGGATTATGCCCTTACATTATAAGGCTACACTGGAGAAGGTGATATTACATCTGACAGGGTTCACTGGGTTTCCC